CTGTCATCAGTGTATGAATGTGTGCGGTGAGGAAGAAATCCACTGACATTAGGCTTACCATGCAAGCAAAGACATCTGATGATGAACCAGACAGCAGGTCAAAGACTATATGCTTCAAATGGCTTTAAGAATACACTTGGCTTCTACCACATATGACTCTTGCAGAAGAGTTTAAGGATAAGTAAATTACAAAGAAAAAAAAAATAAAATTCTGTTTAAATACTAAATACATACCGTATGTACTGTTTTGAGATGTCTGACTGCCTTTAAACCATTTGCCATGCTTAAAGTAGTAAAATACTGAAAAAGAGGAAAAAGCTGTCATTCATCAAGACAATTTCTTGACTATCAGAATATTTCTTCAAGCAGAAATGAAATGTCCTTTCACCTCCACTGCACTGAGAGGCAGCAGAAGTGGATATTGTTACAAAACTGTCTGCCTGGCAAGATAACAGTAGGGCAGTGGACCCCAACCTGAGGGTAACCTGGAGGGACTATGAGATAACTACTTTTGTTGGACTATATATTGTCCCAGATATAAAACCGTTATGTCTAAATGAAATGTAGTAAAGGGATGTTTCTAATCCAAACTGTCTGTTGTCCAGTCCCTGCGCAGGGTTTTCCACCGGCTTCTCTACGTGATCCTGATGATGAATAAAGTCAACAGAGGGAAGCCCTCCCTCCTCGTATGCAGCCAGGCCATCCTCTCCACCCGCGACCAGGCCATCCATTTTGTTTGGTAAAACGCTGTGTTTTTGCACCGTATTCTGTGACCTCCCTAAAGTGTTGTTGCATCAATGTTAACAAGAGGCTGACTATTAATTCATTTAGAGGCTCTCTCTATTTGTGATGAATCAGACATTGTGACCAGTGCTTAAAATGAAGTTCATTAAATAGAACCTTGGACACAAAGACACTGGAATCGAACAATTCTGTGACACTAGAGAAATTCATCATTACATTTATCTGTCATGGAATATATATTAGTGAGTTTGTGATAATTTCCATTTCCATATACCAGTCAGAAACAGGTTTGCATTGTATTGATCAAACTGTTTGAAATGAACAAGAAGCAGTAACTCAACCAGTGATTGTGCCCACAACCAGGGTAACTAAATTAGATGTAAGTGAAGGGAACAACTAGCTTCCATGGTGGACCAGAGTGAGTCAATGAAGTAATGTGTGTTGATGAAGCAGTTAAGTTATTAAACTGTATTCATTTTGCAGAATGAGGAAACAAAAAACCCAATCCACTGGGACAGTTGAAAGTAGAATTTGGGACAGGTGCAGTAGGTATCTGTCTCATGTCCTATTGTCAGGATATAGTGAAAGTATCGGAAATTCCTCTGATACTGCCTAAAATGTGGTATTTGATACCGGAGAGAGAGCCTGTCTGTGCATGTAATTTATAAGCCCCGAAACGGGACCCTTCTACTTCCTAGCAGTGTCTGTTTTATTAACACACATTTATCAGATTGGTATGGAAGTGTATTGTATTCACTTGAAATAAATATGCAGCTCTGTTTTTTTAACGACTTTTAATTAATTTTGAGATACTTTTTCATCCCAAAAAAGAATTCCGTCCAGTGCCTAATCTTGGCTGTCCTCTTGGGTCCACATAACCTTTGTTATGAATTGGCGCTATACAAATAAAATTGAATTGAATAAAACATCTTTAGTCTTAATTAATTGGGTCAGTTACAGCATACATCGCAACTGTCATTATCATAATGTAACAATGGTGACGCCAACAACTTTAATCGTTCCTTTATTTCTGTTGGTTGATAGAGATTGGAGCTGCCGCTTCACATCAGGTTGTTGGTCATTTGGGGATTTTTCCAGCTGTTTAACTGCAGACATGTTATGAACTATATATTACTTTGTAAATGGTTTATGTGTTTGTGATTACAGTCATCTTGTGGATGAGCTGAAGGAGCTGGCACTGCCTTTCCTACAAATCCTTTTGCAGCATATCTGCTTCCAGGTGAATCCTCCAGCAGACACTCAGCAGACTTCCTACAAAATAAAATAATGCTTGTACTGTTTGTGTAAAGTTCAGATAGTCAGCTGTTTTGGCCTTAAAGTTATGATAATTGAATTTGTACGTAGTTAGTTTGCTGTCACACTGTTATTAGTGGATGCATTATCATGGCTGTTATATAATGTTTTGTGGACATTTAGATGGTGGAGAAGAGCGAGTATCGAAGCCATGGAGCCCAGGCTGTGGGTATGTTGACGTCTCAGATGACAAGTACAGACTACGCCCGCTTCATCAAGTGGCTGTTTAACTTCTCCAGAAACTCAAAGGTAACACGTTGCAACTGTCGACCTTTTAATTGTCTGACAAATGTATGTAATGTATCAGGGGACAACACACACACACACACACACCGCTTCAGTTTTATCATCCATATACAACAGTTTAACAACAGTTTTACAAAAGGCTGCAAACGCCTGCCTACTTAGTAAGGAAGCCATTAAAAGTCTGAAAAGAACAACATATTTAAGCAGGAGGATACTGGGGGAAACAGAAAGGTAAAGCTGAACAGGTGGTGCCATTTCCTCAGTGCAACCTTTTATTACACATGCATAAAAAATGTTGAGCGTTGAATGCCTACAGATGGCAGATATCCCCCCACTGAATCCAGTAAGTAGATATAATCAAAATATGAGTTAGGCTTTATTATCTCCTAATAAGTAGAATCCCCTTGTGTACAATCTGCTGTAGATGGTGTGCCGGCTGTTCTCCGTGGACGTGGTGATGGTTTTGCTGGAGCAGCCAGAGAGGAGGCCAGAGGACTGTGAGGACCCTGACCTCGCCTGCTTCCTGCCGCACAAGTTCCTGATCCAGAGCCTGCTGTTCGCTCGGCGGATGGACAACTCTCCCACCGTCCAAGGTCACGCCCTCGCCTGTCTGGCCCAGTGTCTGGAGCTGCCTTCACTCAACGTCACCCGGGCTGTCCACAACCTCTTCTCTGCCAGTGAGAAAACACACACATACACATTCTGGACCTGAGCGTCAGAAACATATGGGTTTCCACATAGTCATTTAGCCTGTAAAGTTAATGCAGATGTGAGGATTGTGGGCTCATTTTGGATCTGAAACTAGGACTAATTTCAGTAGACAATGTACTTTGTAGAGCTATAGGTATGAAAACACACGTGGGAAGGAAATGAGACAAAATGATGAAAGAATCTAAGGGGAATTTTGCTGCTGTGTTTGTATCATAAACTGTTAGTAGAAGTAACCTGTCTACTCTTTGTTTAGCTGAAACCCAGACAGTGCTGGAAGGTGAAATCACGGAAGGTACACTCTTTTGTTTCTTTATTACAATGTTTGTTGTTTGACTGACCACAGATGCTGATAGTGATAGATGTACCAAGTGTTTCTCAGAAGTAATTTCGTCATTCCTGTTGGCAATAATCACCTTGTATTCACCATGTTAAAGTCTGAGGTCTGCAAACATGACGAGATTGCTAAAAAGAAGTCTGACGGTTCAAGGAACAAGAGCACTCAGGCGATACTGGTCAAGTTTGTCAGACTAATTTGGAATGCAAATATAAATGATCCTTTAGGCAGAACAAAGAGAGGAGTTATATTAAAAGACATATTGCTGTCACCTGCAGCAGGTCTTCATCAAGGTGGAAATAGTAAAAACTGGCAGGTAAAACATACCAGAAATCACAATTTATCAAAACAATATCACATCATTAAAATAAAAGAGAAACAATAACACTGCAAATTGTATAACTCTGCTTATAATCTATTCCTATATTGTTTGAAGTGTTGGTTTTCTGATAGACGTGACTTTGTGTTTCAGGAAGTCTGAGTTCTCAGCAGACTCAGAAAACTTACCGCACTCTGCCGTTCAGGACCGTGGAGATCAGCAGCACCGACGGCCCCGGCTGTGACGGTGAGACACTCAGCATGTCATTTGATTTATTTTTAATTACATTAGTTATTTATATACCCAAAGTCTGAGATTCACTCAGAGATATTATTATTATATATTTATTATTATTATATATTTTAAATGCAGCAAAAGAGAACCTGGCTCTTCTTCTGCGGCGTGTAAAAGACTTGAAGATAAACGTGAGGAAATCGGCACTGCAGGTATCAAATCAGCTTCATGTTTCAAATCCAAATAAAGTGATGTTAACCCTTGTCTTTCTATGCATTTTGGTTGCGGTAAACAAAAGATGTAAACTTTAACCTCTGCTGCCCCTTCACAGGCCCTGGTGGGTCTCCTGAAACACGACGTGATCCCCATGAGCTCGGAGAACCTGGCTACGCTGTCTGAGCGCTGCAGAGACCCGGCTGTGTCTGTGAGGAAGAAAGCCCTGCAGTGTGTGGGAGAGCTGCTCACTGTGAGTCCTGCAGCCCTCAAACAGCAGAACATGGAAAGATCTTTATAAAAAAGACATGGATCAGTATATTGATAATAAATTACTGTGAAACATTTTGCATGCTGTTTACTTGTCCAAACAATCTAGAAGAAAAGTGACCAAGAAAAAGTGATGAAGAAAATGTGTTACATATTTAAAATGTTTTTCTGTCATTGTCTGCGATCATCAGAATAAACCAGATTGCAGCGTGGTGCAGAAAGCGTGGTTGCAGGGTGTGGTGCCGGCAGTGATGGACTCTGAGAGCTCAGTGCAGGACAAGGCCCTGGAGGCTCTGGACCAGGTGCTGCTCAGCCAGGTCAAACCGTACTCTGCCAGCCGCCACCTAGATTCCAGCCAGAGGCTGACCTGGGACCTGCTGGGCCTGCTTTGTCACGAGTGCCAGAACCTCAGGTTGAACCAACTACACAGGGTGTCTGCAGGGTTTCAAAGTCTTTAAAAGTCTAAAATCAAATAATCAGAATTTTCGGTGGTAAAAGTATCCTTAAGAAAGGCTGAAGTTACCATTACTTGTATAAAGTTGAATTTTCAGCCTTACTTTTGAATGTGTATTTCATTTATATTGATTGATCACGCTGTAACAACTGAAAAAGGAAACCGGCATGAAACCAATGCTGATTTTCCTTCATATC